TCAGTGCCGTCAGAGACGAGCTTGTGGCCAAGAGCCTTGAACTCCTCCTCGAGAGCCTTGGCGTTCTTGATGACCTGCTCCTGGTACTGCTTGAACTCAGGGGTGTCGACCTGCTTGAGAGCAACGGCGAGAGCAGTGATGGTGTGGTTGTGGGGACCACCCTGGTGGCCAGGGAAGACGGAGAAGTTGATAGGGTTCTCCAGGTCGTAAAGAATATCCTTGCCGGCCTTATCGGTGCTGCGGACACCCTTGCGGAAGAAGATCATGGCACCACGGGGGCCACGGAGAGACTTGTGAGTGGTGGTGGTGACCACATCGGCGTACTCGAAGGGAGAGGGGATGACACCAGCGGCGATCAGGCCAGAGATGTGAGCCATATCGACGATGAGGTAGGCGCCAACCTTATCGGCAATCTCGCGCATGCGCTTGTAGTCAATCAGACGGCAGTAGGCAGAGGTACCGGCGACCAGGCACTTGGGGCGGTACATCTCGGCGTTACGCTCGAGAGTATCATAGTCAATGATACCGGTCTCGAGGTTGACACGGTAAGGGAAGGTCTCAAAGTAGGTGGAAACGGCAGAGATCTTGCGGGAGGGGGTCTGGTAGCCGTGGCTCAAGTGACCACCGTGGGGGAGATCCAAACCCATCAAGCGGTCGTGGGGACGCATGAGAGCCTGGTAAACCTGGAGGTTGGCGGGGCTGCCGGAAAGACACTGGACGTTGACGCCCCACTTGGCGGGGTCAAGGTTGAATGCCTTGAGAGCACGCTGCTGGCAGGTGATCTCAATGGCGTCGATGTGCTGGTTGCCACCGTAGTAACGAGCACCGGGGTAACCCTCGGAGTACTTGTTGCACATGGGCGAACCAAGGGCATCGAAAACAGCACGGGAAGTGAAGTTCTCCGAGGCAATCAGCACGATTGACTCACGCTGACGCTGGATTTCCTTCTCCTGTACGAGGAAAATAATTAGTAAAGCTGGATTTTCCGTTGAACACTGCACTCAATTGCATGTCCTGATGTGTAGTTTCGACGTACCATGATGGCAGCAATCTCCGGGTCGCTGGACACGAGGGAGTTGTGCATTTGCTGTAGATGAGTCAATAAATATATATGCTATAAACGGGCAGATATGATACTCACGTCCCGGTGGGACTCGGAAAGAGCGTAAGACATGATGAAAGATGGTAATCTGTCTGGGATAAAACAGAGAAAGGTTGATGAGCAAGGAGGGAGAGAGGTGAAGGAAAAAAGAAATGGAAGTAGTGGGGGAGGGGGGATCTGCCGTTTGCCTCAGGCGGTCGAGATTTGAGCCAACGATATCGGAGACAGCTGACCGGATTAGGTTTTTAGGTTATAAAATTTGTAACTTGGGAAAAATTGGACTGGGATTGGCTAGAGGTTCATAACAACCCTAATGAATTGGTTCATTTAGATCCTTCGAGAAAAGAGATAGGAAATGCTGGATGTTGCCACATAGCTCATGAGATGGCGCCTTTGCTGTCTTGAAATGATCGCTAAAAACATCTGGGTATTTCCTTATAAACGCCAAATAAATCAATCTAGAGAATCCTGCAGCATTTAGCTGACTTGAGAATTCCCATTGTAAACCGAAATCCCCCAAGGTTTGAGGCTTCATGCTTCCACAGTCCTCGTGTTGTCCTCATGTGGTATTCCTGCTCGATTCCCAAAGTCAGAGATGACAGAGTGCAAACGTCTCACACGATCCTCCAGCTCTGCAATCTCTCTTTGTTGGTCATCGACAGACCGATGCACATCTGGTAACCCTTCGACGACTGTACGAGCCTTCTGGATTCGAATCTTGACAGAGCTGGTTTCGGTAGGGAGGGTCTTCACATCGAGCGGCGGGCGAGCACTTGAACCGAGGACTGATACTTCTGGTACAGCATGTGAAGATGTATTGTTGCCATTGTGCCCGCCATTAGGGATACTTGTAGGTGCTTGTTGGGCCTGTGTCTGGGAAGCTCCTGGGTCCCCTGTTGTATCTCCGGGTACGTCCGATGAACCGGGCTGCTGACCTTTGGAGAGCAAGCGAGAAAGAATCCCATGCAATGGTGGGATTATCTCAAAGGTCTGTGGTGAAGGGAAAGGTACTGTTTGCGGTGCTGGTGTTGACGCGTCTTTGAAGGGTGTCTCGGGCATAGGGGATTTCAGGAGCGGGGTGCCCACTGGCGGAGATCGAGAAGCCATTGTCGGAAACACTGATTAAGAGGATCCCGAGGAAAGATATCTGAAGGACGAGTAGATCCCGGCTGGGGTAAATTTTTAGGGAAGAGTCGGAAGACACCTGGGTCTGCTCCCCGAGGCCGCAATATATGCTTATATCAGCAAATGTTTGTACGCTCCTGGCGCCCGGTGACGGTGACGTCGGGGCCCATGCCCCTCCTTCACCGGCGGCCTTTTTTCCTGCGTTAAGTGGTCTGATTCTCCTTCGACCTCTTCTCTCCTCTAAACACCTAAAGGTAAGCAGCTTCGTTTATTAAGTTTCTCTTGGTTCAACAATTGATCAGTGTTCGTATACTTCTAGTGATCCAATCACTATAACAAACCCCACTATGGCTTCGGTCGACCAAAAAGTTGCTTTGAGTATGATCGACTACCACCCGGGTCCTCAAAAGATGCACCGGCTAATATAAGTCTTATAGTTGTGATCGATGGCTGGGGTATTGCAGGCCCCAACTCCCCACCTGAGGGAGATGCCATCGCCGCGGCCGATACCCCACACATGTCCAGCTTCGCCGAGCCCAACTCCAAGACCGCCCAGGGCTTCGCCGAGTTGGATGCCTCCTCGCTCGCTGTCGGTCTGCCCGAGGGTCTGATGGGCAACAGTGAGGTTGGTCACCTGAACATTGGCGCTGGCCGTGTTGTCTGGCAGGATAGTGTTCGCATTGACCAGACCCTCAAGAAGGGCGAGATGGGCAAGGTGCCTAGCATTGTCAAGGCTTTCACCCGTGCAAAGGAGGGTAATGGACGTTTGCATCTTCTGGGCTTGGTCTCGGATGGTGGTGTTCACTCCAATATCACTCACTTGTTCGCCTTGCTCGATGTGGCCAAGGACATGCAGATTCCCGAGGTCTTCATCCATTTCTTCGCCGATGGACGTGATACCGACCCTAAGAGCGCCGTCAATTACATGCAGCAGTTGCTTGAACGGACTCAGGAGATTGGCCTCGGTGCCATTGCCACTGTCGTTGGCCGCTACTACATCATGGACCGCGACAAGCGCTGGGAGCGTGTTGAGATTGGCCTCAAGGGTCTGGTCACTGGCGAGGGCGAGGATAGCTCGGACCCGCTACAGACTATCCGGGAGCGCTACGAGAAGGGCGAGAACGATGAGTTCCTGAAGCCTATCATTGTTGGCGGCAAGGAGCGCCGTGTCCAGGGTACGTGTGGCTCGAGCCCAAAAGGCAAGATCATAACAGCTAATTGAACATGTACAGATAATGATACCCTCTTCTTCTTCAACTACCGCTCGGATCGGGTCCGTGAAATCACCCAGCTACTGGGCGACCATGACCGTTCACCGCGTCCCGACTTCCCCTACCCAAAGAACATCGACCTCACCACCATGACCCAGTACAAGACTGACTACAAGTTCAATGTTGCTTTCCCCCCTCAGCACATGGGTAACGTGTTGGCCGAATGGCTCGCCAAGAAGAACCTCCAGCAGTGCCACATTGCTGAGACCGAGAAGTACGCTCACGTCACTTTCTTCTTTAACGGTGGTATCGAGAAGGATTTCCCCGGCGAAGTCCGCGATATGATCCCCTCGCCCCGTGTTGCTACCTACGATCTTGACCCAAAGATGAGTGCCGCTGCTGTCGGCTCCAAGGTGGCTGATCGCCTTGGTGAGCACAAATTCGACTTTGTCATGAACAACTTCGCCCCTCCCGACATGGTTGGCCACACTGGAGTGTACAAGGCCGCCATTGAGGGTGTTGCTGCCACTGACAAGGCCATTGGCGAGATCTACGAGGCTTGCAAGAAGAACAACTACGTTCTGTTCATCACCGCCGATCACGGGTAAGTTATTCTGCGAAACAGGAGCACTTCCCATCCAGAGAATTGCTAGTTAACCCACATTCACAGAAACGCCGAGGAGATGCTCAACGAGAAGGGCACCCCCAAGACCTCCCACACCCTTAACAAGGTTCCTTTCGTTATGGCCAATGCCCCTGAGAGTTGGAGCCTCAAGAAGAATGGTGTCTTGGGTGATGTTGCGCCTACCGTTCTCGCTGCCATGGGCGTCGAGCAGCCTGAGGAGATGACCGGTACCAACCTGCTGGTCAAGTCCTAGATAAAGTTTCCACGTAAATGTTTGATTATGAATCAATGAATAGAATTTTGTCAATATACACATAATCTTCCTTTTGCTTTTATAGTGTTAGAAATCGTCCATCTGGAATTTTTGAGCGTGCTTTCAAATGGCCTTCTTGGGACCATCCCCAATCGTCTTTTTTGATATACCTTTTTTATATTATTGGGGGTTTGGAATCTTCCAACCTGGTTTATCAACAAGATATTGAAATATATCAAGACTGGAATAGGAATAGGAACAGTAAACCACAAATATATATATGTAGGTTGACTTCATCATGCAATGATATATCGGTTGGTTTCGGGTCGGAATGATTGATACTATCGGATAATTTCCATATTCAGAGACCGATTGATCACTTTTGACAGCATTGTATTAAAATTTCGAGGGTATATCTTTGAATTGATCCATGCGCTGTTCTGGTGTCGGGCACCTGCACAGATCATACATTTCCAAGGTATCCCAATTCAATTGGGATTTGGTCCTCAATACCCAAGCATTCCTTGAGATATCGTACCTCCAATATAGTGTTCACAGTTGAATAGTGCATGCACCGAATCACAGTGAACCGGTTGAGGGTCCCATCCGGAGCCTCGTAGCTTGCCACATTGCATCTCCCAGTGATATATCCTTCTTCGCCTGCTATTTCTTGGAGGGTTTAAATTATGCGGAGGCCGACGCAGCAGCAGCCTGCTGCTGAGCCTGGCTTTGGAGTTGGATGAGCTAGGTGAGGGGTTAGGATATGCATATGGTGGGGGTGGATTGCGGTTGGATGAGGGTGGTTTACCTCTGAGCGCATCTTTTCGCTCTTTTCTTGTGTCGCATCAATCTCGCCTTCGATTCGCTTGCTGTAGGTTCTCAGTCAGCATATCTTTTCGTTGGGTCACAGCCAAGGCAGTAACACTGACATCTCCTTCTCAATGAACTCCAACCGACCGTTGACGGCCATCGTAGCTTCGGTCTTATCCTGCTTCAGTAGTACCGGGCCAACGAGCTTGTAAATGTTGGATTCATCGTCGAGCTGGGCAAACTCGGTCTGCACGCCTTCGTTCTCTTGCTGCTGCGATTCGAGTTTCTGGCGGGCGTCGACCAGAACATCAAGCTCTGGAGGCGGGGAAAAGGTCAGTAGCTATTGCTGGCATCAATTAGAGATATAGTCATACCGGTCTGCAGTCCCTGGAACTCTTCCGAGCGTGCTTGGAGCTGTTTCTGGGCGTCCATGGTGAACTTGGAGGTGAAGTGAGAGGAGGGAAAATCAATGGCTCCCGCCCGTAAACAACTTCCACTCTCACTTTCCCCTCCAATTCCCATCAACCGTCGGTTCTAAACCTGGTTTGCACTTATTCTTTTCTTCTACTCCAAAGAAGCTTCAAGTTTTCTCTTCTAGCAAGTCGCTGCCTATCCCTCCAGCCTTGGCCCATTGCCTGACCCTTGCTCCCCTCTCCCCGCTTCATCACATCTGCCTCCGCGGTCGACTCGCTACCTCTACCCCGGACAGCACACGCATTGCCCATCATGAGCAATACAGATTTCCTGGGGCGGGCGATCGATACGGTCAAGAAGGCGATCGAGAATGACAACGATGGCGAGTACGAAAAGGCTTATCAGATGTACTACTCCGCACTGGAGTTGTTCATGCTGGCTTTGAAATGGGAGAAGAACCCGAAATCGAAGGAGATGATCCGCTCAAAGGCCGGTGAATATATGGATCGTGCGGAGAAGCTTAAGAATCACCTGGCCGAGGACAAGAAAAAACCAAGCGCGGTTGGCGCAAACGGAAAGGTGGCGCAAGGCAGTGGGAAGGGAGGGTATGTACTCGACTTCTTTTGACAGGAGTTTATCTCTCTAGCACTCCCATATATGTGGTAGACAGTGTTAGCGAGTACGCTATTGTCCTGCGTTATCCCCGCTAATAACACTGGATTGTATAGGAAGGAAGATGACGATAACGGCGAAGATGCGGAAGCGAAAAAGCTTCGATCGGCGCTTCAGGGAGCTATTCTGTCGGACAAGCCGAACGTGAAGTGGGAGGATGTTGCTGGCCTGGAGAACGCAAAGGAAGCATTGAAGGAAGCAGTCATTCTTCCCATCAAGTTCCCCCATTTGTTCACTGGCAAGCGCCAACCCTGGAAGGGTATCTTGCTCTACGGTCCTCCGGGTACGGGAAAATCTTATCTTGCCAAAGCAGTGGCAACGGAGGCAAACAGCACATTCTTCAGTGTCAGCAGTAGTGACCTGGTCTCGAAGTGGATGGGTGAGAGTGAAAGGTAGGGCAGCATCTTTATACACGAGAGCTTTGAGCGTTGTATGCTAATTCGCGTCTAGACTTGTTAAGCAATTGTTTAACATGGCCCGCGAGAATAAGCCTGCTATTATCTTTATCGACGAGGTCGATGCTCTGTGTGGACCCCGCGGCGAAGGAGAGTCCGAGGCCTCACGACGTATCAAAACCGAATTACTTGTACAGATGGACGGTGTCGGCAAAGACTCGAAGGGCGTTTTGATTCTGGGCGCAACCAATATCCCCTGGCAACTGGACGCTGCTATTCGGCGACGATTCCAGCGAAGAGTACACATCAGTCTTCCCGGTCTTAATGCACGAATTAAGATGTTCATGCTAGCCGTGGGCTCGACGCCGTGTCAAATGACCCAGGCCGACTATCGCCAATTGGCCGAGATGAGCGACGGCTACTCCGGTAGCGATATTAGTATTGCCGTGCAGGATGCACTAATGCAGCCAATCCGCAAGATTCAAGGAGCAACACATTATAAGAAGGTATGCATACTCTGTCCTGGCCGTTCTAATCCACAGCGACTGACTTCGCTATGTTACAGGTACTCGTCGATGACGTAGAGAAAGTAACGCCTTGCTCACCAGGCGATGCGGGCGCAGTGGAAATGAGCTGGCTCGACATCGATGCAGATAAGCTTCTGGAGCCACCTCTCACTCTGAAGGATTTCATCAAGGCAGTTAAGAACTCTCGACCAACCGTTAGCGGAGAGGATCTCACGAGGAACGCTGAATGGACCCAGGAATTCGGCAGTGAGGGCGCCTGATCCTATCTTCGCAAATGATCGATTTATATCGTTCTTCCCATCATGACCTGCGAATTGTGAATCTTTCTATCTCAGTTGATCGACGGCACAACATCCTGGCCCCTTGGCTTGTCCAGAGAGGACAAAGACTGATGATCTCGTGCCCTTGCCTATAGTCTCCATTTTCTCATATGCTTTATCTGTGTCCATGTCAATTCTTGCTTCATTTCGGATTCCTGTGTTTTTGGTGGGTGTCTCCGAATAGTTTGGTGTTTAGAAGCGTTTGTCAATTACTTTTCGCAATGGCGAGGCGTTGGCTGAGCAAATATTACATGTGTCTATCCCTGCGAGTAGCATACATACTGCTTTGAAGACTACAAACTTGCAAGCTTCTTTCGTCATTGCTTGTAGGTGTAACTAGGGTTAATTAAGGCTCAATTTCTTTACTGGCAGACGATACATAAACGAATAACGGTTCTTGAATCATCAAATTCCTCGATGGGATGACACTATGCACAAGTGATTTGAACAAACCGGCATAAAGCTAGCCCTAAAAGGCCCCAATAACGAATATAGAGAGACACAGAAACACAAAACAAGTCGGAAAAAAAAGCAGTAATACTTGCAAGACATGTCGGGGGAATCTCTCATGACAGAAGGTTGACGCTGGAAGAACAAGAGATAAAATCACAACGAATGACATAAACACGGAATCGATCTCCAGCGCTACTACCCAAGCAAGCTCTTGTTCGAGCTATCACGGCGCTTGAGCATTTCAGTCTTAGCACGCTTCAACCCCTCGCCTAGTTTCTTAGTCCGCTTCCAGTCACTGCTCATCTTTTGCATGCGAACAGCGGCCCTCACTAGAGATATGGCAGATTTTAGTTTATGGCGTGGAGTGCGGACAGGGGCTCGATCACGGGCGTGCACGCCCATCTCGGAAATCATGCGGAGATCGGCATCGTTGCTGTTGGTAATCTGTTAGCTATATTGCAAATAATATTAGATAGAATGGGGTACGAACCATGCAACTCGGACGCGTTCACCGAGTTCCATCAAGCCCTTGCTCCAGGCAAGATCACGGCGGAACTTTTCCTCACGCTGCAGGCGAGCGCGGAGCCAGATGATTTCCTTGCCCAGACCTCGGATCTCTTTTTCATGTTTGGTCTTGCTGGTCGACTTGGAAAGGGAAGTTTTCTCGAGGATTTCGTCATGGCGTCTTTGTAATAGATCAAGATTTTTGGTTGCTGCTTCAGCTTCGCGCTTGTGAGCATCTCGTTCTTCGCGAATCCGGCGCACATGTGTCTTCAATTCGTTCAGACGTGCTTCCCGTTCAGAAAGTTTCAGGGCTAATGATTCGGCTTCGAGGGTGGAGGACCTAAGGAGCTCATGGAAGTCCTTTTGGTCCTCTGCTTTCATTGCGGCACGTTCCAGCTCTCGGTTCTTCGTGTTAACCTTCTGAAGGGATCGATGTGCTTCAGCCACTTGTTTTCGTAGGCTGCGTAGCTCTTCATGAAGCTTGTTTGATGGAGAATTATGTGGGGAGTGTGACTCGAATTTGTTCATCATCGCATCATGAAGATCCTTTTCTAATTCTTCAACTCGTGACTTGTAGCTTTGCGCAGAAGTCTTTTGCTTAGATTCACGCTGGAGCAAAATCTTTTCGCGTTTCCTAGCCTCCTCTAGGCTGTGTCGAAGCAAAGAGAGATCCCCGTGTGCACTAGATTGTTCATTCTCCACAACAGGTTGCTGCTCGAGAAGAGCTTCCAGTTCTTGGGCGCGACGCTCCAGGCGCTGTACCTTCGTCTTGGCCGAAGTAAGTTCTCGATCTCGGTTACCCGAGCCAGCGAGCAATTTGTCCTGAAGGCGATCGATTTCAGCCGAAAGACGACCCTCCTCTGATACAAATCGCTCACTTTCTGAGACGAGCTGGTCCTCAAGGGACGACTTGGCGTCTCGCAGAACTTTGAGTTCATTTTCAAGTCTTGTTACAGTCTTGCGTAGTTCAAGTTTGTCACGGTTAAACCGGGTGGTGTCATCTGCGTTCTGGACTCGATCAAGCTGAGCTTGGAGCTCGATGCGATCAGCTTCAATCTCCTGTGCCGCACTCTTCAGGTCAAAGATCTCGACATGAGCATTTGCAAGCTGATCACGGAGTTTTTGCCTCTCGGCAATAGACTTTTCCAAGTTTTTATCCAGGTCAGAAGTCCCATTTTGTCGACCCTTAGCAAGTTCTTGCTCATCTGCCAGACTCGATTGTAAAACGATCACCTCGTCTTCCAGGGCTCGCACCTTGTCTACAAGTGCTTGCGCTTCACGACTAGATACCCGAGCTTCCTGCTTCGCCGTAAGAAGCTCGTCTCGTTTTTCATCAAGGTCGCGTCTTGTTTTATCGAGGTCGTCTTTAAGATCTTGGATTTGGCGATTCAACATAGACTTTTCTTGCGTGTAACGCTTTTTCTCGCTGTCAATGGCCTCTTGTAGACGGGACTCCTTCCCAGAGTATGAGCTACCGGCTTCCTGAAGCGTGTCGATAGTGCGCTTCAAGTCTGCCACTTGGCCTTCTGCCCACTCTTTCTCTGATTGCAGAGTCCGCTTGCTGCTCTCCCATCGACTTTGATCGACTGCAAATCGACCCTCCTTCTCCTCAATCTCATGGTGAAGGTTTTCGATCTCCTCTTGTAGTCGTTCAAGTTCCGCCTTGTGCTGCCAGCGAATGTTGTGCCCTTCATCCTGAGCGCGAGATGTGGCGTCTTGAACCGCTTTTTGGAGTTCGCGGATTCTAGATTGTGCACGGTCGAGTTCGAGTTGTAGTCCTCCAGATTCATTCGTTAGCGCATTATGGCGAGTTTGAAGAAGTTCCTTTTCGTCCGTTCCGCGCCGAAGTTCGTCTAAGGCTTCCTGCAGTCGAGTAGAAGTAGTTCTGAGGTCCTGTCGGGCTTGGTCGCGATCACGTCTGGCCACGTTAAGGTCCCCAACCAGTTGATTAGCGTTTTCTTCTAGGCCATGCTGAATAGTTTGATAACGCTCTTCGAGGAGACCCGCATGATTGGTTTTGCTCTCCAGTTCTGTCGTCAGAGCGTCGTTCTCTCGTTGCAGCTCGCGTATTTCTTCTTCGAGCTTTTCGGTCCTGTCTTCCATTTGCCGGCTCAGTCCTTTGGTGGTAAAGGACTTGTTCGACATTTCGTCCTGTAACTCTCTCAAATCCTCCTCTGCACGATCCTTTTCTTCAATGGCTTGTCTCGTCGCATCCTGTGACTCTCTGGTCTCTGAATTGGCCCGGGCAAGACTGTCATGGAGCTCTTGGATCTGCTCCTTGGCACGGTCCAGCTCAAGCTGGAGCTCTGAAGCTGCGCCATTCTCCTCGGCATTACGTTTCAGATCCTCGAGCTCTTCTTCGCGTTCCTCGAGGAGCCGATCTTTCTCTCTCGAGCTTGCTTCTAAGTCCTCAATATCGTCTCGAAGTTTCTCGGTCTCTTGCGATTTGGTATCTTTGACGTGCCTCAATTCGTCGCGCACTTCTCGGAGTTCAAGGTCACGCGATTCAAGCTCTTCACGCATCATATCCATTTCACGCTGTACCGTCTGATCCGCTTGCTCCCTCCATGATTTTTCCTTTAATTCCACTAGCTGTAGCTGGTAGTCCTCAAGATCTTTCTCTGCTTGCTGAAGGCTCTTCCGGTATCGGGAGATATCGCGTTGCATCGTTAGTCGCAAGACCTTGAGCTCCCTGTTTTCTTTGAGGGCTTCGTTATTGTATTCCGGGCCAGCCTTTTGGAGTTGTTCTTCCATAAAGTGAATCCTCAGCTTTAAACTGAAATTGACTTTGCTCAGTTGATCAATGGCCTGTGGACGTCAGCATTAGCCTGCAGCTCGTGCAAACCCAAGGATTGGTATCATACCATAGCTTGGTCCTTGAGCGACAAGTTATTCCCTCCCTCACCAAGGACTCCTCCGTTACGTCCTGCATACCCCGGCAATGGTGTACTTTGCGCACTACTGCTTGCAGCATGTGGAACCGGAGTTGCCTCTTCCATTGTCCGATCCTCGTATATGTCAGACATATCCATAGCAGGCAAGCCGGGTGTGTGGGCATTGCTGCGATGGGTCTCTCGCTGATATCCGGGGGTTTTCGGACCGTCTGTTCCTCGGGCCGCAGACATATTCCTCAAAAGATTGTTCTTTGTCGCGCTCTTCATTAACGGAGTAAATTCTCCCTTTTCGGGGGCTGTTGATGGAAGGTGTCGTAACGCGCTTCTCGTTGATTTGGAAGCAGCACCGGGGCGCGGAGTGACGCGTTTGTCGAAACCTTTAATCACATCATTGTCTTTAGATGGTGTTTGAAACGAATTTTCAAGAGAATCGAGTGCAGACAAGTGCTGCCGCCCCGCGCTGCGAAATCCGGTTGTAAGGTAAGTCGCGTTGCCGTCGTATTCCGTGCGCGGTGTGTCGATGTAGGGGAAGGCCATGTTGAAACAGGGAGAGGTGGGCCAAAACCTTTCAGCGCGTGACCATCACCGTCAATAAGGGCAGGAGCGAAGTTGTGTACAGAAAGTCCACGCTTGACAATCACAGACGTGTTTTGGGCGAGTTATCCCCGGCTGTGTTAGGCTTAGCGTGGACACCTCTGTTGATTTCTAACCTAATTGAGATTAGCGTGTGGATCACGGGATGTGAGTTTCGCTGCTTTTACTTTTTTTCCTATCAGAAGAATGCATGAGGTCATTCACGGTCTTTGACACAAGATCAACCATGACTTCTGAAGAGGATCGCGCATGGTTTGAATCGACCTTCCGTCCTATCCCCAAACCAGAGCTCCCCGACGACGCTGTCGACTACTCAATTTATCATATCCCGCTCTCCCCCACTTCCACCGTTATCGATGAAGCTGCCGAGACCCGGGCACGATTGCTTGAGGTGCAACGTACAGCAGCAGATTTAACCAAGGATCTGCTCAAGGATTACATCTGGCAGCGCGAGCCCTTTCGATTGGAAATTACAAAGGAAGACGGTATGGAAGTCTCGTTCTTAAGAACTATCTCTAAATAAAGTTAAAAGCTAATTGTGACGGGGTTTAGGAATCACTTCCCTACAGGGCCGCACCACCTTCGGCGACTCTATTGAAGATGAATGGGTCATTGTGTACTTCCTCCGCGAACTGACCAAGCGACACAGAGATATCTGGGTTAAAGTGGTGGACGGCGATGGTGAGTTTCTTCTCATTGAAGCTTCAGGCACACTCCCGGCATGGATAGAGCCAGACGTTGCAGACAATAGGGTGAGTTATGGCTAGTTTTCACATCGGCTTATCAGAGACATCATACTAATCAGGTAATCTATGAATCAGGTGTGGATTCACCAGGGAGAGCTCCGAATCATCAAGCCCAAACAGGAGACGAAGAGACAGGTCACCGAGAAAATTTCACTTCCAGAAGCACGAAAGATTATCCAGAACGATCCCGGTCGCATTCTTCGCTCGACAATAATTCAAGAAGAGGCTTTTTACCGTCTACGCAACTACCCTCAGCAAATCAACGAGAACCTTCACTCCGCCATAATCACAATTCCTCGCAAGGCTGCATTCCTACTACACCAAAAGCCAGCCTATATCTCGCCTGCCGTGGAGGCGTTCTATGTTCGTGATCCGATCGCACTGCGACCACTGCGATCGAAGGATGCGTCCGACCTTGTTTTCAAGCCAGACGACTTGGTCGACGTTAGTGTTCGGTTTACCCGTGTCGGATATGCGCAACTCAAAAGCCAAGAATTCCCTGTGCCAAATTCCTGGGCGGGCAGGCTGCCCTCGACTGAGGATAAGAAAGCATATGAGCGGGCGGAAGCGGGAATGAAACTTGCGTGTGGATTCGAGATGCTGCTGTATGACCCCCAGAATCAAGATAAGCCTGCTGTCAGGGAAATGAAGTTCCTTCTCGAGGATGTGGATACAGGGGATGAAATCCTTCCCACTGATCAAGAAATCCAAGAAACCTGGGACAAGCGAGAAGACGATGAAAAATGGCTTGATATCAACTATGAAGATCTGGAGACAGAGCTCAAAGGAAGAGGCGAAGGAAAGGGAGCAGACGCTGGCAAATTCGGTGACTCTGGTGCCCAGGAAAATCTTCAACGGATCGTGGCTCGCTTTGAAGAGTTCTTGAATGACAGCAAAGCAGGCTTCGATGGTGCCGATTTTATTGATGACTTCGATACGGATTCTGATGTCGACGATGATGATGACGAGGAAGTCGATAGTGAAGGCGAGGATAAGGACGCGTCATTCAACGAAGAGGAATTCTCCAGAATGATGAAAGAAATGATGGGCATGCCTTCTGCACCCGATTCCATCCGCAAACGAGTAGAAGAACTCGATTCGGACACAGAGGACGACACGGAGAAGATCAAGGAGCTTTCCCGACTAATGGAGGCGGAATTGAAAGGGACGGGTGTGCTCGATCTCAACCGGCTCCCGCATGAATTATCCTCTACTGCAGCAAGTGCCTCCAAAGGAAAGGCTGCCAAGGTTTCCAGTGAAGATGATGAGGATGAGAACATCAACATCAACCTCGCTAAGAATCTGCTGGAGAGTCTTCAGGGCCAGGCTGGAGCTTCTGGCCCAGCGGGTAATATGCTGTCAATGATGAACATGCGCATGCCCAAATATGATCGCCCTTGAACGTGACAGTACAGGCTCGAGCTATGTATGTGAGTAATCATTGACGTGTCAGAGTAAGCAAGAGCAGACACCCAGAGGTCTAACCCGGCAATGGATTTCATGCCAGTTCTATGCGATTGACTGAAGGAATGTCTCATTCACTAGAGGCAATATGTCCACCAAAGACAAGGGTTATTCCCATTCTGGTTGCTGGTCAATATGGTTCTGTGATATCCTTTTCCACACCCGCCCCTGGAAAGGGATAACGGGGCTGATAGTGCGGTTGAACCAACACCTTGCAAGTGCCATGGTGACTATGAATGGAAAAGCAAGAAAAAAACCAGAAAAAGCACATCTGATTTCATCTTTCAGGTGTTCAACTTGTACTCCGTACCCATGCCCAAGAAAAGTTGGGCAGTTACCAGATGATCATGGGCTTAACAATTCAGCCAATGGCAACTAAATGAGGCTTTGTTCCTCACAGTCTTGATAGTCATGTCTTTTCTAGGTTAAGTAGTTACATACCGTTTTAAAGATATAGCTTGTGGTAATAAATTAGATGTCTGCTAGACCCCTCACATATGTCGTGCAACAGTTTCTACCTATATCCAAAGCTAGATACACATTCTCTATGCCTCTATTTGTAGATGTATAATCATCAACTTGTAAAATTTTGGTTAAAATATGTTCCACACTCCTAAGATACATGGTTCAACGGGACGGTCCCCGAATTTGGAATAGCCTAGTGGGGTTAGGGCCGTGAAGACATGCAGAAATTGCATAACATAAGCCACGTAGACATGACGGGTGGCGAGGGTATCAAGAAGCGTATAACATAGGGATTAGTGGTGTCGGCTATGGAACCACGGTGAAGAACCCTGATCTTGTGACTTGCCTCTATTAAGTCTGTGTTACCATTTTCATAGTATGTGGTACCTACGCTATTGCATATAAGATCAACCTAGTACTTTAGGAATTCCACGTGGAGGGCTAGATCGTGTCTTGGATCGACCCCCGATTGTTCCTGACAAATATAAAGGTGTCTCATAGCCGATCCACTTCTGCAGAGCCGAATTGGAACGTAACCGACCTTCCCAAAACAATCGAATATCCATGTGGGTACAAACTCAATTACATTGATAATAAACATCAAGGCTATATGTTATACGAGTATGTGTAGTGGAATGAGTCTCCGGGAAATAACGGAAATAAATAATCCGGCAATCGGCAATCCATCAAAAACCCGTTAGAGTGTCGTGTGCTTATTTGATGGCGAAAGGATCCGCTCGTGTGGGTTTGCCGATTTTCTTTTTTTTCCTCTTTCTTTTACAACTGTATTAAATCCCTCACCATAAATTAAAATGGATCTTCAATCTGTTCGGTGTGCTAGGGTAATAGGGTGAGAATAGTCAGAAGGAATGGGACATAATATACTCCGTAGTGGATGACAAGACCTAACTGCTACATATTATACACTACTAGTGTACTTAGTGTGCTTAGTGTGCTACTAGTGATACAAGGCCTGATGGGTTGCACTCCGTACTCCGTATACTCCGTCACGGAGGTCAGCTGGCTCCGTCGGCAAGGATCTAGGATTCAAGATCCCAGCTCAATGCCGGGGCAATTGCCATTTCAGAGTACCAAGATCTGTTTCATGTTTGGGGAATAGCCTGTATAAATGGTGCGGAGTATGGGCGATGTACATTAGCCGCTCTGTTTGCCATTTGGACGGGGCGGATGAACGGATCCTTTTAATGGAAATAATTCCGAAGATTATCCTAAGAGGATTGGAGATAGTGGACCTCGAGTATACTTATAGTATTGAATGCATTCTGATTTAGAGCTCAAAGAAAAAGGCAATATCCAAGTCCCGGAGGCTTGTCGGGAAATCCTATCAAGTTTAGATCCCTGCTCACGCTAATTCCCCTTCCCACTTTTTCCACGGAACTGGTTTGTGTTCCGCCTCAGGGAAAGATGAGCATGTTTTAAGATCGTCTATCTCCAAGGGATTACTCTAACCGAACTCCCCTAATTATATGATACACATCCAATATGACCTCCATATTTCAACAAATCGGAGGTCAGGGAATTCTTCCCTTCACCTCCTTGCCGTCCCCCTAACACGGAGTTATCTCCAGATTACTCTCCGAGGAAACCCGGGCTGATGGCTGGAATGGAGACGGCTGTCGACTGATCTGACACATGCTGATTTTCGAGTGACATGCAAAATCAGAAAGAGAGAAAAAAAAAGCAACCAAAAAAAGCAAATCCCTTACAGAATGTAACCGAAAGGTGAATTGATAGATCATAATAATTCTTAGAATTTAATATGGATATTGTATTCAGATCAAGAGAACAGAGTAGATTGTAATAATATTTCGTTAGCTGCACGATCATTGGCACTACACATATTACCAATGGAGCCCCTGTTTGCAGTGTATATCCACTTCTACGCAACGGTCCAAGGGCAGATGAGAACGGCCCCTCGGGACAAGACGCTAGGCAAAGAACGGAAACATATGAAATTGTAATGGTCGGGCCGATTCTAGAATTACTTTTCACATGCAGCAATCCAGGAGAGAAAAAGAATGTGATCGGACCACATCCGGAAGGGTGGTGTAACTATAAGGGCAAAGGTACGATTAAACAAAAGTGTAGAGCTTCCCAAGAGAAGAGTTATAAAGAGAGAAATAGAAAAGTGGAAAGAAGTGGATGTAGTGGAGAAGTTCTATTCTTCCATCAACCTTCCAGGAAGTTAAAGAGGGCAAGTCCCGGCCTTCGTCCGAAAAAGTCCCAGGACCATTAGCCCCTTCGATTCTTATTTATCGTACACACTCCACTACTCTGCCTCTTTTTAGTCTCTCTCCCTTCTCTTTAATATCTCCCCTTTGCCCTTTTTTTTTCCCTTTTACTCTTTAACCTTCCGGGAACCTGGTCACTGTGTGGATCGACCCGCATACCAGTCTTTCGTCATTATTATCCAGTCACAGCATGCCTGGCGACAATGGATTAGACATGCTGGTTATTGCTTGATCAGGTCCACCATGGATTTTATTGTGAGTAAAGACTAAGTTAAGATTTCTAGTTTTCTTTGGACTGACCTCTTCGCAGCTTTCTTTGACGCACTTCTGCGAGGTGCATGGTCCCACCTCTATTATTTGCTCGCAGGTCCTACCCTTTTCATGCCCGCAATGTCACCCCGAATCCGACTCTCCTCAGGGTACTCCTTCCGAGTCTCGTTTCGATCAGCGATCTCACAAATCTACCGAGTCCAAGTCGCCCAGAATCGAAGATCATCCATATTTCCTCAAAGGACATCCGGCATCCCCCGAAGATAAATCCAACCGAGGTGGCGCAAATGGCGACACCTGCGCCAGTTGCAGCTTATCTCTACCGGAAACTGTGAGCAAACAGCTACCTCCCGGTGCACCTGGAAGTCGTGACGCAAAGGGCAATTCCACTAGTCCGGTACTCCGCTCGCGCGAGCTCGTTTACTCGTGTGGCAACAGCCATTCCGAATTGGATGATGAGACCGACTATCACACCCATGCCTCTCCCCCCGACTCACTTCACTCTGCCTCGGTGGCCTCCGATGCCTCATGTCACACACACATTCACACCTATCTCTCTCAACGCGGGCCGCCTAAACCCGCTGACTACGCCCTTCTCCGACGCTCCTCAATTCGCACCCTAAGCTGTGAGCTCTTACCTCGGGGACTTTCTTCTGGCCCCATCTGCTTCGGTGACGGAGTCGCTGGTTACACAATTGCCTATATTTTCCGTCTGCCAGACCCCATGGCCCGCGGCAAGCGACGCAGCTATGCACTGGTTGCACTGGCCGGGCGAGATGCCGGAAGAGCATTCCGCGCATGTCCCATCATTTGGCGCGCCTTTGGCCGTATCGCAACCAGTATTGTCAACGCTGCTGAACGCTTCCAGGAAGACGAGAAGACCCGCGATGAGCAGAACAACCCGGGAAGACAGCCCGGCCGCCAGTATCCTCCTGTTTCTTCCTTCCTCACTGGCCGGGGTATGGACCCGGCGGGCCGGCGTGCAGCCGGCCAGATTCGCGCCCGTAATTTGGCTGAAATCGTCGGCAATGAATACATCTTTACCGAATTACATGCTCATTTCGTCGCACTTCTACAGCAGCTGGGCTCAATGTTTGGCGGCATTCCTCTTAATGAGGAACGCTTTGTCTGCAGCACTATGGGTGACGAAGAAAGCGCCAGTCCTTCTCAGCCAGTCCTCGTCTCCAAGGCAAGACAGCCAAACGACGACCAGAAGTATGACGGTAACGACATCGACATATCAAACCTCGAAATTTCCGCGGGACCCAAGGCGATCCCCATTGCGCCTCGCCAGCCTGTCATGGCTTGAAATATTCTTTTCATCATTTGCATGAACCTCTTATTGAGATACCCGCCTGCTTTGTTCTTTTTGTTTTTCAGGCACTTTCAACCTTGACCTTGACCTTGTTCTTTATTCTTTTTTTTTGCTGCTTTTGTCTGGGTTAGCAAGGTGTTTCGGCCGATTTCTGCATTGCTCATCCTGCATACTGATTCGGCCTTCGTTTTTTTTTTTTTTTTTTTTTGGCTCTCTCTTGCGTTATGGGTATGGGCATAGACTATGGCGTCTGACAAACACGGAAAGGAGTTTCTTGTTTTACCAGCCTTGGTTTGAGGTATGCTTTCTTGGGGTGATATGTCTTTCTTTTTCTCCTGGGCACCTCGTTCGATCTTCACGGAGTTCAGCGATTCAAGCACGTCTGTTTAGCGGGTTTCCATTTTGGTGACTAGCGCTAGGTTATGATTGAGATGTTACGATCGCATGAGGCATTCAAGAGACATGTATTCTATGTATTATTTAAACACGGATCAAACCATGGCCATTGGCCACTTTTTCGGAGACTTGATTTTTATTGTAATATAGTCCGGAATAATCCGGGTAAACGTACCTTTTTAGATTAATCCGGCCGCGGCCACAATCAAATCAAACCTTGGAAAATCCCACCAAAAAGAACAGCAGAGACTCAAGACCCGCATCACCTCCCACCTCCCTCCAGCAATATCAAAATGGTCGCCTTCGACAAGTGTGAGACCCGGCCTGCCCATATTGAGGCTATCCTCAATGGCCTCGACCGGTACAACCCCGAGACCACCACCGTCTTCCAGGACTATGTGTCCCAGCAGTGCGAGGACCGGTCATTCGACTGCTACGCCAACTTGGCTCTGCTGAAGCTGTGAGTTGGACCCCTTTCTTTTGTGGAATTGCATTGCGAAAATCATAAATGAGAAGCTCTACTATGATGAGTATCTTTTAAGCGTTTCCTATTACCTGACATCCCCATAATATACTTGGGCATGTTGAGAAATTCTGTGAAGATACTGAATGGGAAGAACCCCATGCATTGGTTGAAACCAACAGCATCGCATACTGCTCACAGACACCTCAAATTCTCCTGAAATTATCGAATCTAAGCTGACAATGGCCCTCTTCAAAAAAAATCCAGCTTCCAGTTCAACCCCCACCTCATCCAACCCGACACCGTGACCAACATCCTGGCCAAGGCCCTGACCGTCTTCCCCTCGCCCGCCTTCTCGCTCTGCCTCGCCCTGCTCCCAACAAGCACCCAGCCCTTCCCATCCACCACTGAAGCCCAAGCCGCCTCGCAGACCTCCGACTTCGTCGAGTCCGTCCAGAAGCTCACCCGTCTGTCCACCCTCCTCGAGTCCGCCCAGTACGCCCAGTTCTGGTCCACCCTGAACTCGGACGACCTGTACGCAGACCTGACCGCCGACGTCGCTGGCTTCGAGGAACTCGTCCGCATCCGTATCGCCATCGAGGTCGGAAACACCTTCCGCTCCATCACCGCTGAGATCCTCGAGTCCTGGCTCGATATCCGCAGCCGTGACGCGCTCGACAAGTTCGTCGTCGATGTCTGCGGCTGGAAGGTTGATGGCGCCCTCATCCGCGTGCCTACCAACAAGGAGAACGAGGCCCGCTCCGAGGTCAAGAGCGAGCACGTCGGCATCGAGCAGTTTGGTCGTGTCATCCGTCGCGGCTTTGAGTTGCCCGCATAAGCGCTTACGGAAGCTCTTTGTTCTTGATTTTTTTCTCTCTCGATTCGAAATGTTTCACTTCCTTCCGATTTCGTATCATCTTTTTTTAAAATCTCCAAAAAGCTGTGCGAGGGAAAATTCGTTTCCCATCCATGACATGAGTTCATGAATCCCACCCCCGATCAAGTGACGAACCGACGATAGATTTCGCATGGAGGAGGGGCTCGGAGATGAGTCGGGACCTGGCGCATCTGGCGTTTTTTTCTTTTTTTTTCCATTTCTCTTGTCTGTATTGGATTCTTTTTTTTTACTTGTCCACGCAAATATTTGCATTGGATAATATGAGGAAGAGAGAAAGATGCCATGTCCATACCATAACATAACTTTAGTCGTGCCTCTATGTAGGGCCGGCTTTGCTGCCAATATAAAAAATCATACAGAGCCGGTTCTAGATGTAGAAGCAATGGGGATATAGCACGACCCGGTCTCATTACGGAGGATGCAAGCTTAAATTACATCAACATTCAAAACATCCAACCTCTACAAAATATAATATCCCCAACCAAATCACAATATAAAGGACTTACAGGAGGAACCGGTCCAGTGAAAGTATCCCTAGACGCCGCAACCGACATCCTATTATCACAAACAACAATTAATCGCCGAAGCCAGTTCCGAAGCTAAGGATATAGCAACATTGGCAATTTCCTCCGGTGCAGCGCACCGATTATAATAGTATCGCCGATAGATCCTAGCAGTCTGTTTCCAGATTTCCTCAGCCGTCTTGTCGAGCTTATATTCCACGCCTTCTTCGACAAGTCTCAAAGTAGACAATAAGCTTGTAGAGGTAGGACCAGGCGCAACGGCGTTCACGCAGATGTTACTGGAGAATAGTTGAACAGATCTGCTTCGTACGAGACCATTACAGCCGTTCTTCGCTGTTGTGTATGCCAGGTCTGCAAATGCACCGATCAGCGTTGCATACGATGAGGTGACTACTATATTCCCCTTTGAGTTCGGTTTGTTAGAGGATGTCATGCTCATGGCTCGAGAGCCGTATTTCAGTGTGAGGAAGGTTCCGGTTTGCATGACTGCCATTGTGTGTTCGGAATGTGATACTGAGAGATTGTTTAGACACTCAAGAAATGGTTAATTTATTGTTATCGAGAAATGGAAATGTGTAAGGCAGATCAATAAAGACTAACTGGTATATTGCAATTCCCGGCGAAGTAGAAGTCCAATCGACCGTGAGATTTTAATATTTGTTGTATGAGATTGAGTGTTTGTTCCTCAGATGAGACATCGAGTATACGAGATTCCACTGTAGTGTCACTTCCAGTGGCTTTCACGGTATTTTGAAGGTCTACAAAATAGCTCGAGTTAATGTCGCAGGCGTAGACGGCCTTTACCCCGGATTACGCTACTACAATTACTATAGAACGACCAATGCCATGGGCTGAGCCTACGCCAGTAACCATGCCGATTTGGCCATGTAGAGTTGCTTCGAGCATTGTGAGTAGATTGATTCTCTCAAGGTCTTTTTTTGGAAAGATGGAATCCAAACCAGCCCTGCTCAAATATATAATGGGAGGATGGGCACATGCTGTAGTACAATCACTAGGTCTGTAGTGGTGAACATATGCAGTCTTGTAATCGAATGCTAAGAATGAGTTTGGCCTTGTTGGACAAAGGTGAGATCGGGCATCGTCCACATTATACGATTCGCTAGATTGCCTGTTCACTTCATCCCAGCCCATCATACCTTGAAACTGAAATAGGGGTATGGTTCAGAAAGGTCTATGTGTTATGTCCACAGACTTTGAGGTCTTTCCTTTGTTGCATCAAACGCCCTTTTTCTCTCTCGAAGATGGCACATTACTTGTGTCGTTAATATATAGAAGTCCTCTACCTTCGCACATATAAGTCAGATTATAAACTTGGAAGTGCTTCGCCAATCTTGTCCATTATTGTTGGCTATATACTCAGCTGTACAAAGTTTTATAGATCAGGGTTTTCCCCAATGCATGTGGCAAACACGAGGGTGAACTATAACGAACTATAATGCTATGTAACCATGCTCTGCTTGTATTACACATGCTTTTTAGGGACACGGAGAACCATCGTACAACTTTGGCATTGATGCAGGACGGATTCCTTACCCACAGCCTCAGGAATTCGATACATAGTCATTCCCTGCATGATATGTGATATAAAAGTTCCAAGGCAATTCAAAATGCTAATGCAGAAAAGACTCTGTATATAGCTAGAAAATACTTGATGTTCCTGGGAACATTGCTATGTACAACCTAGGGTAGGCAAAATACTCTCATCTAATGCAAAACATCATCATATCTACCTCAACTCTTCCCACTGCACACCAGCCCATTCCTCACGCCACCCAGTAACGCCCAGCTCCTGCGGTGTACAGTTCTTACCACAGACCCCCATGATGATAGTGCCCCACTCCATGCCCGCATCATCCTTCCCAAGACCAACACCAGCACGCCCCTCCTCAAGCATACTGATAGCATGTGGCACAAGCTGGAATTCAAACACACGCTGACTTCCACAGTACTCACAAGCCGGGATGCTCCCCGCACCGACTGTGGTGACCTTGGCATTAGGAGCATTGTGAGCATGCAGCCGGGCACCGACCTCATCGCTAGTCGAGTACAGCAGTGGTGTACCGCGGAACTCATACCGAAGCACTTGCTCCGGGTTGTGTTCGAGGCGCATTGAAAACTTCATGAAATCCTTGTCGAGCTCGGACTCGAAGGTGTCCTTGAGCTCGGGGCCGCCAGCACCTTCTTCCTCCATTGGTTCGATCTGCACATTATCTGGCACTGTGGGTGTAGATGGGTCCGAGAGAGTCTCGTATTCTGCGTCTAGGAAGAAATTCTTGTACGGCGCAGGGAACGCGGACTGCGCGGGCCACGGTGCCGTTGTACTTGATTCTGGTGTTTTCTTTGTCGCGGCTGAGGGGGGCGGCGAGGAGATGCGCACTTTGTCGGCGAAAGTTGAGGCCAGGGTGCTTTCAGTCACGGCGGGCTTCTCGGCTGTAGGTGCTGTTGCCTGGACCGGCATTGCAAAGGGGTTGCTTCCTGCGGGTGTTGGGCCCGAAGCTGATGAGAAGGGGTTCGGGTTTGAGGAGACGTTGCTTGTCAGGTTTGTTGCGCCGAATAGGCTCGCACCTAGGTCCTGCTTGGGTTGCTCTGGTGCGACGGGCTGGGTTTCCTCTGCTTTCGTTTCGACCTGTTTGTTTTGTCCACCGACGAGGACCTTGCGCGCTGCGCGGAATGCTCTGATACTGCCTGGCTTGCGGTTGCAGGGTTTTCTGGGGCAGCCAAATAGGTATAGGCGTCGTTCGTCGGTTGGGAAGTGATCGGGCAGGTCGCCGTGCAATTCGAGGAGGAGCAGCATTGGGCTGTTGCAGACTTTGCAATTGGCAAAATCACCAGGCGCTGGGGAGGCATCATCAAGCCATTTCTGAACAAAGAATTGCGATTGTTAGTTGGAGTTGGTTATAGAGAGTGATCCCTCGTAGTGGTAGAACATACCGGCCAGCCTCCAAGATGGCTGATTACATCTTCAATGACATCCTCAGCGGCATAGCCTAGAAGAACACCGGTATCGGTGAAGTCTTCGTCGAGACTGGAGTCACTGTCGTAGGGGTCCATCTTGAATTGAATTCGGAGTTAAGTGAATCAAATCTGTGAAGCGCCCCTCTAAAAGATAAGCGATATGAAAATGCACCAGTCCTAAAAGAGACTAGCGTGACATTGATACGTACTACCAAGTTGTCCGCCCTTGACCACTTCAACCTCCATCCATCCTATTCATCTATGGACCTTTGATATATTTGTATTTAATCTCTGGATAATCAGAACTGGCTATCCAACTGCAAATTAACTCTGTCATCTTCTAGTACTACCATTAACCATGCGGTCTATACGACCTCTATCTCTCTTCCTATACTCCATCCTACTCGTCTCGTTTGGCAATGCAGCAGAACAAGAGCCATTGCGGGAAGTCGTCAGTGCATCCCCCAAGCGGGTGGCAGTAATCGGTATGTCTTTCTCTACACAATAAGACATATAAGACATATGGAGCTGATATCCTTCATAGGCGCCGGAGCTGCAGGCTCGTTTACTGCGTATCAACTGCGCAAGCTCGCAGATAAAGCCAACATCCCTGTCGATATCACAGTTTATGAGCGTGAATCATATGTTGGCGGCCGCTCAACAACAGTCAATGTATTCGACAACCCAGCGTATCCCATTGAACTGGGCGCTTCCATCTTTGTCCAGATCAATTATAACCTGGTCAACGCTTCCCGTGACCTCGGCCTAACGGTCAATAGTGCTGATCATGCACGGCCTAGGGAGACCGATGAGAGCATCGGGATTTGGGATGGGAACCAGTTTGTTTTCACGATGAAGAATTCGTATGACTGGTGGAATATTGGCCGGCTCTTCTGGCGGTATGGACTAGCGCCGCTACGTACTCAGAATTTGGTGAAGAATGTTGTTGGCAGGTTTCTCCGTCTTTACGAAGAGCCATTATTCCCTTTCAGCTCTCTCACTAAGGCAGCTATTGCGGCTGAATTGATCAATGCCACTGCAGCTTCTGGCAATGTGTTTCTCCAGGCAAATAGCATCGACTCGCTATTTGCGAGGGAGATCATTCAAGCAAGTACTCGAGTAAATTATGGGCAGAACCTGCAGCTGATCCATGGCTTGGAATCAGTCGTCTGTATGGCTACGGATGGAGCGGTTTCTATCGAGGGCGGAAACTGGCGAATTTTCGATGGCGCCCTCAGAGCATCGAAAGCGAATATCAAAGTGAATACCACAGCCACCGAGATTTTACGCAACGATGATGGGACTGTGCGGGTGTCCTCAAAGCTAAACACCGCTGCCGACTCAGAGGATGAGGTCTTTGACGAAGTTGTCATTGCCGGTCCTTTGCAGTACTCGGATGTCGCTATCTCCCCTCCCTTGGATTATACTCCCGATGAGATTCCATATTCCAATCTGCACGTCACACTCTTTGCATCCCCACACCGCATCTCACCGAAGTATTTTGGCCTAGATCCAAATGCTCGAGCGCCTGAGACTATTCTGACTACTCTGCCCGAGGGCCTCGATTTGGGCTCGAACCCAGCTGGTGTTGGGCCTAGCGGCTTCTGGAGCATTAGTACACTTCGAACAGTAGATCATTCTATCGTGGAATCCGAAGATACACAGCAGCATTACGTTTACAAGATCTTCTCGCCAGAGCGGCCCACGGCTGAATTTATTGCCCAGATTCTGGGGCTGGAGACTGAGAGTGAGACTGTGAGGGGTAATGCAACCATTGGAGACCTCCGGATAGGTGATATTAGTTGGTTCCATGAGAAGCTATGGAACCCATATCCTCTTGAGTACCCGCGAGTGACATTTGAGGAGACTCTTCTGGCTCCGGGTGTATGGTATACGGGTGGCATAGAGAGCTTCATCTCGACAATGGAGACTAGTGCGCTGATGGGCCGAAACGTGGCAACCCTCATGGTCCAGTCGTGGTAGAAGCAAGGACATGAGATAATGATATATCAGGGGGTTATTTCGAAGTCTGCTTATGTCTTATCAAAAGTCATGCATATAACGTTCCTTTCTTGCTTTCAGCCTTGCATTTGTTGCCCACAATACCATATTATATAAATTGCTTAATATACATGTTGGAGACTATAATTTCCGTGTTTGTTCCCATGCATTTAATCTCGGCACTCATTAGATACTTCGGAGCTATCTTTCTCCGCGCATCTGCAGTTCCAGAGCCTCCTATTTCTTAGTAGAACTCTAGATCTGTGATCTCAATAAAGAATGAAAAAATGAAGTTGATTCCTTTCTATGCACATATACTCCTAACATGCATTCAATCCTAGCTAAACCTGTATCGACAGTGTAAACGACCTGTGAATTGCCTGTTTAGGTTTAGTCCCCAGTGCTGCGGGGCCTTCTGGTCAACGTTAACCCTAATTCAACTATGATCTAGCAACTTGGAAGCATTATGACTCCTACTGGATCGAGTCTGGCGCCGATACAGTTTGATATTGTCAC